TTGTTTTCTGGTAGGTTTATTAGCAGTTAGTCTATCCGAGAAATCTGTCATTCGTCGCCTAATTCTGTCATAATTTTCCAAAACAAATGCATCAGGACGCAGTCTTCTTTTGTTTGGAAAATCTTCTTGTTTTAAGTTTCGCATGACACCTTCCACATAGCCCTCTGTTTTTGAGTTTTCTGATTTAAATGAAAGGTACGGATAGTCGTGTAATGTTTCGTAAACTGGATCGTTCTCCTCTATGTATCGGTCTAATGAACCTAAAAGTACACCAGACCACAAAGGCATCTCACAAAGATAAGATTCTATGAATGCAAAAAATTCTGGTGCGTAGCATCTATTATTTGCCTTGCTATGTTTTGCATCTTCCATCGCTCTTTCTTTGACATTTCGTAGCAAGCTATCGTAATGATTTTTGAATGGATTTTGACTTGTATTTCTGTCTGTTTCAGTAAGATCGGCATCATCATCGCCTGCATTTGAAAAGACTCCATGCACTTCAACATGTTCAAGGATTTGTTCTCGTTCCTCCATTGCATGGATCAATTTCCATAAGGTGCTGAACGCGTTTTGGACTTCATCATTTTGAGTCTTATGAAGCAGGCAAATTGCAACAGGTAGAAGAATATGATCAAATTCTTCTTGGGTTCTAGAGTTTACCAACAGCGACACACAATACATGTTAAAGCGATACCACACCTCGTTTGTCGTACTGACTTTGATACGCATAATTGATTTCAAACGCCTATGAATTATGTTCATGAAATGACTGCAACCAACATGTAAAACCATAAATGCAAAATCTTCGTTTGATGCCATCCTCTGCACAATCCTGAATGCTCGAAGTAAAACTGAGCAAGGGTTTCTCCGTTGAACTCTTTCAGAGCAGCCAATATCAACGCCTTTGAGTAATCTGTATTTAACTGACGAGGTATTCGAACGTTTCCTTTGAAAACGTTTGCCTCATCTCGACGAAACCTCTCAATAAAGGAACGTATGCTGGGAGCACTGTGATCATTTGTTATCATTTCGGCAATCGGCACTGATGGATTTCCTTTCTTTGGGTGTCGAACAATAATTGCATAATAAAGTACTCTTTTGCCCATGAAATCTTGCACAATCGTTCCGGTTGCGTCCATGTATGCAATATCTTTCATGCATAAGTAATGCCAAAGACGCACCTGATCTTCATTCCACATATATACCCAAAGTGGACAAAATGAAATTGCTTGAACAAATCCTTCAATCTGTTTGGGAGGCATCTCGCGCTGTTTTCTCGCTGAATTAAATCATCCATAGCCATCTTCAAGGAAGTCATGACGTCTTTGTCCAGCTGAGTTTGTTGTCTTCCTTCACTGGCTATTTTTCTCACAGTATCTGGAATTTTACCACATTCATTTCTATTTCCAGCTGCCTTTGCATTTACCGATATTCCCTATTTCTTGGTACACTTTTGAAGGTTGGCCAGGTCCTTTGTGAAATTGATTTGCCAGTTGCTTACGTTTGTCACTCTTTATGAACCTAGACTGGCGCTCTCCAGCAGCGTGTTTCACAGATCCGTCATAAGTTACGGTAACTTTCTTGGGAAGAAAGTCTTTGCGAAAGATTTGCAATACAAACTTGCAAGAACAATCTGCAAAGATGCAGTGACCTGTAGCATTAAACACAATCGGCGTATTTCTTTTCCTCGAATTTTCCTTAGCGATGAAATGCCTTTCGAATTGGAAGGTGCAGTAGGCGTTGGATTTTTCATGTGATCCATCATGATATCCGTCCATGGGCACCGAAGAGTGTTTGGTTTTCCGTGGTAGGTCTGATCCTTGACCACTCTGCTTCACTCAAAAAAAATGTTGCAGACCTACAAACATCGGCTATAAAGAATGTATTTGGTCGTGGCAAATATGGGCAGTCCATCATTCTCTGGAAAGTTTCGTGCTCATCGGAGCAATAGTTTGATGTGTTGCAATTATTGTTTGGGGTAATATTAGCATATGTTTTGCCAACGTTCTTTTCCTTGGAAGACATCTCGTACGATTCAACATCGCTGAATGGTGAAGATGTTGCATTAGCACAGACATTATCCATATTATCTTCATCTTCTGATATTTTCATCGGCTCCCATCCCTCGCTAGAATCACTTTCACAAGTAGAAGGTCTTTTATCAACATTGTCAAGTTTTGCAAAAAATGCTGAGGGAGATGATACTTTTTTATCATTACAATCATCGCGCCACTTGCTTGAGAAGTCAGTCAGTTGTACTTTTCCTCTTCCTTATAATCATAGGAATGACATTTTGAAATTCGTCAGAGTGATAAATGACTTTCTCAATCGACGGACTACTTTCCATGCTGTAAGATACACGATCTGAAATACATATGTTTTCATCAATGCACGGTGAAGAAGGATGTAAAAGTACATTACATTCTCTGTTATCGACCACGTCTTCCATTTCTCCATGTGACTCCAGGACACCCTCCTCGTGAATATCATTTGTGCCAAAAACGTGCATTGGATCATTGTCATCAGTTTCTTTGTCTGAAAGTGACAGCAGTTCTTGTGGACGGTATTTATTGCGGGATTTTTTGCTAGCACAACTAGGACAGATATAAGATTTGCCGTCTATACAATTACTGTATTTTTCGAGTTGTTTCTTTGTTTTAAGATGAGGTAAACCAACGCATTCTGGATGATAAAACTCCAGACAACCTTCTTTCTTTTCATCGCACAAAATATAGATTCCAACATCTTCTTTTGACAGAGACACCATAGTTTTGGTTGTTCCTTTCTGGAGTATGGGCTTTCGGTATGCATCTTCTACGTTTTATGCATTTGTTTTCTTTATTGGATTGTGCTAAGGTTTTGACCACATTGTTGGTGTGTCTGCTTGAAACTTCTTTTTGAATCTTGTTTAATGGAAGATGCATCTCCATGTTCACTTTCTTTAGTGTAATGAATATCTCCAGTTAAATGCTTCTGGGTAGTGACCATGTCGAATTCCTCGCTAGCCTCATCACTGTCAGTCGCTGATTGGCCAAAATCATAATGGTCGTTTCCTGCGCATTCACCACTATGAGTGTTAAATGGTCGGGACTCTAAAAATGGCAAAAACTCGCGACCCGACGACGGGTGATGCGCATTATCATTATATTTATTGTCATGGCTAGCTAACAGATCTTCAGCATTTGATAACTAAAAAATGCAAACAAGTGTATTATATTAAATTGAGTGCATCAGAAGAAACACTGATTTAATTTGAAGTATGGTCTGGATTAGAACAAAGCAAATAGTACCATCATTATTAATACTGTAATAAACTATTTCAAGATATTAATAATTAAATATGCTTAAAATAAAAAAAGGCGATATTAATGATTACAACAATATTGAAATATTTACAATTCAACCATTACGTTATGTCTAAAGATCTAAAAATCAAAAATTTATATAAAGATTTATATTTGGGCACCTAAAATGGTTAGAATATTCTCTGAACACATGAGCAACCGATTTTAACTTGCATGAACCTTATATTTGTAGACTCACCTGCCACCGCCACCCCCCTCCTCACATTACAGCAAGGATATGCGACATCTATTCGACGTAAATATTCTCTTTTATTTTAAAGGCTATAAGCATGCGTCCTATCTATACAGAATGTGAGACTTCCAAGATTATGCGTTTTCAAATCCCTGTCACATTCTACAAAAAAGGTGTGAGGTTCCTAATGACCTTCCCCTCCTCCCCCCACCATACCCCCAACAGGAATGCTGGAAGCGCCGCCAAGAAGAACAAAGAAAAGAAATAGTTAACGCAGTTGATAAATGTGCTACAATACAATGTCTCCATAATCAATGTTCACTGACGTTACGCTCAAAAGATGAATTGACTAAAATTGATTGGACATAAATAGCCAAATATGTAAATAATATGCCAAAAAAACAACGTTTCTTGGACATTTAGACATTTCAGATTAAAAATGAAGTTGAAAAATACGATTGCCGTCAGTCCCAGATTTATGGAAATGCATTACCCAAATCAAAACTTTTTGCATAAATCATTCCCGATAGAGTGTACATTATCAATGTATTTATTTGCATATAGCCACTTAAATACCTTAATTAAAAATTGAATTATTACATAATTTAGTGCAAGTGAGGCATATGTTGCCTATGGTATGGATACACGCAAATTTTTATGGAGCTAATCCCTCAAAAATAGTGCAATAGCCTTAAAAACAAAGTTAAGCGATGCACACATGTGGGTCCGATAACTATCTAAACTATTCTGCATTTACAAGACGCCCTTCATTACATTGCATGTCACGTGACTGTGCTTATTGAGAAAAGTGAAGTCCAAAAGATCGTGCATCGAAAACCATTTTTGCTGTGAATACTTTATCCTCAAAAACTCTTTTAAAACAATTTTCTGAACTGTACATATTCCACCCAACCGATAATTCAAAACGCTTGTAACTTTTGCGTTTTACATAAATAGGTTAGCGATATTTTCGACGATGTAACTTTTATTTCGTCTTTAAGTGAGGATTAACGCTTCATATAATGCAACTATATATCGATGAATTATGCAAGGTCTTTGTTGTACTGATAACATCACGAAGTACAAAATGCTATAAATTTTCCATCGCAATCCACTGAGCGAGCGACGTATCAAATACAGCAAAAATACAACAATCTTAATAACTCAAATGACAAATTGCATTTTAATTTAAGTTCGCAGAAAATTTTTGGGCTTGCTTTCGCTTTGAATAATTCTCAAGCACAAACATCGGTTATCAATCAGCGCATGCGCAGAAGATATCACAAATATTCAAACGGTCATTACGTTTTGAAAAATAATTAATTCGTAATCTTTACACAAACAACCAATCAGAAAGTTTAAGATAATTTTCAAACCGCCCAAAATTCATAAACCGTTTACTGTCAAACGAATGATCAATACATGAAATTAAATATCCTTTGCGTACCTCTTTTCGATTCTCGGCTTATATGTGATTGCACAATGACGTACGATTAACCGCTTGTGCGCAAACTGTGGTCAGTTGATTAACCATGTATCCTGTACGTTGTTTGTGGTCAGTAGGTTGACCACGTCCTATACGTAAGCTTTTCCTGTTATTGTGGTTAACATACACATGCATGTATGAGTAAGGCATTTTACTAATTGGTTAACTAATAATATATTTAAATATATAACAATAATAAGTATAATTTACATGATTATGTATTATCATGTACAACCACCGATAGTATAAACATAAATACATATGTATCCCCCGATAGTATACACATATAACACATGTATCCGCCAACAGAAAGAATAAATCAAATGATATCACCTTTCACCAACCTTCAACGCATCACTGGAAAGTAATTGCAAGAGAGGAAAATCTTTTGTGAATGCTTCCATTTTCCTTATCCATGCTTCATAAACTTCATCATGGTCAGGCAAGAGAGATTTTAGATTTTCAGCAGCCAACTGCCATTCGCTCATCTTTTCAAGTACTTTCTTAATGTTTGTCTACAAAATACGAAATACTTTATATGTAGTCAATTGTGATGAAAGTGTGAATATTCAGCATCTTTTTACTCATGTAAGTTGCTAACAAGACACAAACTTAGTTTCTTACAGGGCGATATGCAGCTCAATTTCACATCATAATCATTCATTTCCGACGCCCTCTAGTGCGCAAGACCATGAAAGTTTTAATATTTTAATAATAATATTGTCAGCTGAAAGACAACTTCAAGATAGTAGAGACGTATGATATAGAGAAAACATAGGGATCAGCCATGAAATAGCCCATCCTAAACTAAAGGAAAAACGAATATAAACTTGCCATATGAAGATCTATCTTCTGATTATTCTTTTTTACTTTTTTCAGTCTCTTTATCTTAATTTCATACGATTCATTTCTACGTCATTGTTCATCATACTATATATTCATCTCACGATTGTTTACTTACATAAAATGAAATTAATTAATAAGCCGTTTTTACTTATTAGCAGCTAAAATAGTTAGAAAAGATCAGGGGCCGGTTGCACGAAGCCTGGATAGCGTTATCCATTGGATGAAAAAATTTTTACACTTGTAAAAAAGATGTTTATATTTTTTTAAGACAAAGAAATTTTGTAGTCCTCGAAACAATATTTTATTTCAGTGAATGCACAGTTCAAATCTACCCAGTGGATAGCTATGGTACCTAGTCATTTCTATGTTTTACGGGGGGTCGAAGCGTCAAATTTGTCGGCAAAGTGGGCGTGGTATGGTCTTGGTTTGGACTTAGCATTAAGTGAAAATATACCGATAGATGACCAATTTTTGCCGACAAAACGATGATTGGGTGCATCTCACACCCATGATCCACCATTCGCGACTGCTCTGATATTATGTTCTAACACAGTTACATTTTCAATTCTGTCATGTCCGCATTTGTGTAATTTGGTGACTTCCCTAGAGCGGTTCATATTGTATTACTCATAGGCTAAAAGCGCAATGATATCATTCTCACATCATGCTATGCGCTCAGTCACGGTGCTTTACCTTAAAAAATGGTGTTTGAAGCCAATGTTCGATTTTCTCGCCGCACGCTTCATAATACTTCCACAACTCATAACGTACGTCAACGTTCTTCAATATTTGTAGAAGTTCATCTTTACAAAACTTATTGCCTGAAATCACTTCTCTGTATTCCACGAGTTCGTCCAAATCATTCATATAACCTCTAAATGTTCTCCGAAGCTAAAGCGAAAAAAGTTGAATTTGACTACCGAAGACATGTTCGACAGTTTCAAAATATTCTTAAATGTGAATTCTCTCCCTCTACAATCCAGAGGAAAAGATGGATGGCAGCAAGCTGATAAAAATCATGAAACCTAATTTTTCTCCAATTGGTCACCATCGTAGAGAACCACAAGAAATAATAATGGCTAAATTTATCGCCTTCATCAAGTCCATGGAAGGTGAGTGACAATGTGATCTGTCCCAGATCGAAGCATCTGCTTTTGCAATGGCAGATTTAATAAGTGTCTTTTTCTGTATATTTCTGTGTCATATGATATGTATTACATATTACTATTTAATAGATGGAAGTTTGCTGGGAAACTTACATGATGAAGGAATCCAGTTGACAGAAGAAGAGGAGCACTTTGCTTCTGAAGCCACTTCTAAGCATATTCTTCTATTTGCAACTGGTGCAACCAACGTACCTACTATTGGCTTTGTACCTAAACCAACAATCACATTTGTTCATGATGATAGCAAGATGATACCATCAGCTCAGACCTGTTCCAACTCATTGCATTTGTATGTGAACAAGAAGACACTAGATTGTAGCCTGGCCCATTGCTTGCTGACAGCTTTAATGAATGGAGGAATATTTAGTAAATTGTGAGGAAGAATAACAATGTGTCCCTTGTTTTGGGGATTTAGTTAAACTTTTGCAGAGTTATGTTACAGACATTATTTACAAATGGTGTGCCAAAAAAAAAATTAAAAAAAATTTAAATTCAAAAATTTTTTTTTTCAAAAAATTTAAATTCAGCTTTGGGCAATTCCACGTAAGATATGGTACATTTCCAATGCTCTTCTCCAATGTGTTGGTTGAGACATACCAAGTTCATTTCCAATGGTGCAATAATATTCTTGAATAACATTTTCTTCCATGTACTCATGACAATATTGAGACATATCTTGAAATTGAGCATCAGTCACTTGCTTTGCATAATTTTGTGCACCATTGCATTCAAGGAGAAAGTAAAGTTCATCTGGTCTTCCAGCAACTGTGTCAAACCTTGACTTACGGATGTAGTGGGAGTTCCAATTACGCTTGACGCTTGTTACATCTTCTTGTAATAAATTGGCAAAGCAATACCACAAACATTCCTTGTCTAGATCACTTCATCTATTTAAATGCCCTGTCTCAATCATATCTTTAAAAAAATTCATCCACCAGTTCGAGCGATTTTTTCGTAGAAATGCCCACCAAGATTCAATCCGCTGGTTTGACTGAGAGGAACCATACCAATGAGCATTGATACCTGCCATCTCATCATCCCCACTAGTTCTAAAATAAGCTTGCATTGCTGCCATTATGACATTTTCAGTCCCATTGTCTGTTCTCAACAATGTGGGGCATCCACCATACTTCTTAACAGCATCCAGGAAGTGTTGACTTGTAACAGCAGGATTGTTATTTGTTTTGCATACTTTAAGCCATAAAACTTTTCGGCTATATCCATCTATGCATCCATGCGCTAGGAAGTCATATGGCTTAAGTTTGTCATAGCCATCAACATGCCAAGCATAATTGGAACCTGGGTTGTGGTAAGTTCTTCGCCTAAGGGTTTTGCCCTGCCTTTCCCTCACGCCATCAGGATCCAACTCATTAACAAAAACCCTGATCGTTTCCCTGGGCACTTGGTAACCTTCCCGTTGCAAGGTATGCCACACAGAGCGATAACCAGCTGAAGAACCTGGTGCATCAAGCTCGTGCTGTATTCGTTGTCGAATTAGACTTAAATCATACTCCTTGTTCCTTCGACGAAGACCAAGAGATCTTAGCTTGGTATTAAGTGTTCGTAAGGAGATGTTAATGCCGTGAAACTTGCCAAGGAATTGCATAATCTTCTCGTATGCAAAGCCTTCTCTGAAATAATGCGCGATTAGTTCGTCACACGTATCGTCTCCTCCAGGGATTTGTTCCTCCGCGTTTCGAAAGCCTTGTAAGTGATTTCCGCAAAGTGGGCAATATTGGAATGTGACCTGAATATTTTGACCGCAAAATGGACAATACATTCCTGGTGAAATTCAGCAAAACATTACAAACCAACGCAGATATTTTCGAAAGATTTCTAAGAAATATTCGACATATTGCCGCCCACAGTACAGTGCAAAATTCTGGGTTGCGGTAACTTTGTTTTTGCATTGCGATCAAATTTGTTTTTGCATTGCGATCAAATTTGTTTTTGCATTGCGATCAAATTTGTTTTGCATTGCGATCAAATTTGTTTTGCATTGTTCGTGTTTTGCATCGCAAACAAAATCATTTTGCATTCAGCACATTATTTTTGTATCAAATATATTGTTTTTGAATTTAAGGGAATGTTTGTGCATTGACAAATTAATTTGTGAATTGCAGATACGGGCCACCGTAGTACAGCGATAAGTGATTATCAAATTACGTGTCATTGTCGGTATTAATTTTCCATTGTGTTTACTCTCAAATTGCTATTTTGTATTTGTGTATGACACAATGGCTTCAAGTGCGACTGCGATTTGCTCAACTGATGTTGATTTAGTAAATAGCTTATTAGCTAAACCGTTCTCTGCTCGATCGTCGGTCGAACAGAATGTTATCGTTCATGAACGGCCTACTCCTGATTTAACTATCCAAAATAAGGGAAGAGCATTTCAGAGAGATTGGTATGAGGCGAAGGACTGGCTGTGTGGCAGTACAATCTTGCAGAAAGTGTTTTGTTGGCCGTGTCTAATGTTTTCCCCAAAAACATCGCCATCGTGGACGTTTTGACCATTATGTCTGATGCTAAGAAGCATGAAAAATCTAAATCGCATTTGACTGCATTTAAGACATGGAAAACGTATGGAGCTAGTGAATGAATTGATTGTCTTATGTCCCTCGCTAGAAGAAATGAGATTCAGCGTCACAATGAGGAGGTAAGACAAAATCGAGAAATTTTAAAAACTGTTACTGAGGCCGTGCTGTATTTGTCAAAGCAAGAGTTGCCATTTAGAGGTCACAATGAGTCCGAAGGTAGCTTGAACAAAGGTAATTATAGAGAGTTGCTCGAATGTTTTGCTAAGTTTGATTCTGTATTTGAGCGTCGACTGCACAGTAGACTAGCAGAATCTGATATAGTTGGTGACAGAAGATTTACTGGAGTCTCCCCAGAAATTCAAAATGGTTTTATCAGCTGTCTTGATTCAATTATTGAAGATGAAATCAGAAAGGAAATAAATGATTGCACATTTATGAGTATTCAGGTTGATGAAGTATCTGATGTCTCCACCAAAGAGCAGCTAAGTGTTATTGCTCGGTTTGACAAAGCAAGTGAAATTATGGAGAGGCAATTAGGATTTGTGGATGTAAGTATGAACAGAAATGCCACAGCAATATCACAAGTTGTCAAAGATAAACTTGGTGAGTATTCTAATATAAAAGAAAAACTGGTTTTACAAACATATGATGGTGCTTCTGTCATGTCTGGCCATATCAATGGTGTTCAAGCATTGGTTCGACAAGAGTATCTTTTTGCTCATTTTGTTCATTGTGCAGCTCATAGATTGAACCTGGTCCTATGCCAGCCAGCCTCATCAATTTCTCCTGTTAAAATCTTTTTTATTAATATAGCTACATTCAGCACATTTACAAGCAATGCCCCAAAAAGAAAAGCTTTTCTCACATCTAACAACCTTGAGTTTCCTGCCCTGGTGAAAAAGATGGTATTATCGCTCTAGATTAATCAATGTATTGCACAAAACTATGAAAAACTTTTAGATATTTTTGAGGGGTACTTGAACAACCAGCTGGGTGGGATGATGAGTCATTAAGTAAAATAAGTGGCTTACTGCATTATCTTGATAGCTTTCTCTTTTGTTTTCTAGTGTGTGTTTTTTACAGGATTTTAGAACAGTCCACAATTTTGTATTCCATTCTTCAAAATAGGGAAACCCATTTTAACTATGGCATAAGCAAGATTGACAATTTCAAGCAGTTTATCGTGTCACTTCGCACAGTTTTACCAAACTGCACTAGAAAAAGTAGGCCCACCAGCAACCAGAGCAGATAGTAGATACAATTACAAACAGCTTTATTTTGAGATTATTGATTCCATTAAAGGCATGTTAAGTGAACTATTTCAAGATATTAATCAGTTCGAGTTTTTAGACCTTGTAAATCCTAAACTATTTACTACATGGAAGGGCATATTTCCACAGGAGAAGATCAATCTTCTCAAAGATAAGTATAGTCCTCTTTTTGACATCCAAACTTTGGAGAGTCAACTTTCCTTCATTTACAACGACAAAAACTTTCACAAAGAGTGCAGTAATGAGGTTCTTAAATACATCTTCAAATTTAATCTCCAGTCGAGTTTAGGTCAAGTGGTAAATTGAATGGTGTGGTAAATTGAATGGTGTGTTAGCAGTGGCAAGTGCTTCAGTAGAGAAGTCGTTTTCTTGCTTAAAAAGGGTAAAAAGCTATTTAAGAAATAGAATGGGTCAAGGTCGGCTTAGCTCTTTGTGTAGAATATCTATTCACAAAGATATCATTGAAAAGAAAGAGGAGGAATCAGAGGTGTTGCATAACGAGGTGGTTGAAAAATTTGTAGAAAAACCCAGGAGGCTGGCGTTTCTTTATAAATGATGAGTATAGTATGTGTTTTGATATTTGTTCGTATAATACATGGTACTTCGATGAGAAAATTAAGCATAACTTTAAAGAATAAAGCCATCCCTGTCTACTTGCCCCAATCTAAACAAGTTTAAACTAACAAGTAGAATGCTAAGAAAAATCTCTCTCTATTCACTTTAGAAGAGTCGTATACTATATTATTTTTTGTGCTAATACAAATTTCTTCTGTTTATGCAGGGGCAGTGATGAGTAAATTATGTTTTAGGGGACAATTGTCTCCTGCGTAACGTTTCTCTGAGTCACCTTTAGTACCTTTTTAACTAGTTGCAGTTTCAACGATTGCCCCATTAAGAATGCAGCTAACAAAAATGGGTTTTTATAAATTATTGTACAACAAATAATTCGCCCTCGAAATCGCAGGAAATGCTGTTTCCAAGGCTCTGGATTTCAAAATTTTCCGGGGAGCATGCCCCCGGACCCCCCTAGCGGGGTCGCGCCTCCGGCGCGAGATGGATTGGCGGGAGTGACTATTTTTCCTAGCTACGCCACTGTTCAACGTTAACATGAACCTAACGCCAACGAAAAACAAAGACAGTAAAATCACACAAAAACATAGTACGAATACCAACTACACTGCACAAGGCAAGATCTTTAAACGAAAGCATTCTTCAAGGAGAAAACATACGAAAAAAAGTAAACGACAGCAAAAACCACGTAACACTGTCGCTAGTGATTCTGAACTGAGTTCATTTGTCATGTCGAAACATGTCTATTTTCAAAAAGTTAAATGTGTGTTGGCAATAGTGCTTTTACAAAATTATAGAAATACTAAAATACATATGATAACAAGATTGGAGCATTTTGATTGAGCATTGGATAAATTGAATTAAACATTTCCATTAACTCTAAGGCGAAAGGTCGAGATGTTAATTGCATTGTGTGGTTAGAGCTAAAGTTTGCTATAAAAGAGCCATTTGCTTAAATTTTCTTTTAATGAAGTATCAGAGATAATGAACGTTATTATGTCACACCTGTGTTACACCTATACACAAAATTTAAATTCAGGCCTTAACAAAAATCTTTTGTGGTCTTATGATTTATCTGTTGCCACAGTCAACAAAGAAATTATCCACACA